AATACTCTCTCTCTCTCTCTCTCTCTCTAACATTTCTATCATAGAATAAAGATAAGTGATTCCAAAAGATAAAAAAAAAAAAATAAGTATAATTATCGTACACGTTTTTCTCAACACACAAACATATCTCAAAAATAATCCCGGCTTCTTAGTGGAACGACGAACGCATTATAAACGCGATTAGTATCGAACCATTTTTAATCGAAGGCTCGTTATAGACATAACCAAAGTCGAATCCTGCCGAACGTAAAAGTCTCGACGACGAACTGAACGTAACACTCTGCTCGCTTCTAATTGACGTAGTAAAACTCAAATCAACTCCAGAGAATTTTAAATCGTTATATTAAATTTATATTAAATTGTAAAAAATTTTAATATTATTTTTAAAAAGAACATGCATTCGCAAAATATAATTTTTCAAATGCATTTGTCGATTGGATGAAAGATTATTAAAAATATTATATTTCACAATTTTGATAAACGAAAGCAGTAAACATATACTATACTATATATATTCAACGCGAAAGAAGCGTTTCAAGCGAAGAGAAGGTAATGATTTTTAGTTTCTGCAATTTGATCGTTGCTCGATATGGTAATATAGCGAAAAAGGATCTGGTGAAAACTCACTAGTCTGATGATTCTAGTAATACTTGATCGAAGTTTTAGCGGCAGACGAGACGAAACATAACTAGGCGGGGCAAGACATTACTCGCTAAGATTTTTGCGATTAGATAAATATAAGCGAGAAAATTCGAACCTCAAATGTTCGCTCGAATCAAAAATTGCAATTGTCCCTAACGATTCCCGACAATTCTCGCTTTAGATATAACTTGTACATTGTATCGCACATGATGACTCGTTCCTACACGAACAGCTATGTACTTACGAATTATTGAAGGAAAGGTGTAGTAAGGATTGTTGTTTTAACCAACATTTCGAAAACAAAGATTTTTTTTGTCAATAGAATTGATGTAATTATTGCTTTTATTAAGGAAGAATTTGTCATTTCAGAAATATAAAAACAGTTTTGTTATAACATACGCGCGACGTAGATCAAAATTTTAGGATAAAATTTATTCGTAAAAAAATTTTTTTTCTCCCCATTGCATTTTTTTTTCTTTGCTTTGCTTTGTTTTGCTTTGCTTTGCTTTATAAAAATTGACAAAAAAAAAAAGATTACTTATAGTATTTACTCGGTTTCGACAATAGCAAAATAAATAAATGACAAGTGTGGAAGCATCGTAAGAACAAAAAGGTGAAAAGTCAGACGTAAGCCTGGTTAATAGACGATTAGATAACTCGATTCGATATTCCCTATATTTGTATTATAACATTCCATTAAGAAGCTTGCAGGTAGAAAATAAAAAGGTATTGTATCGTTCGATGAGCGGTACCTTACATGCTTCTAACCTAAGTAGAGAAGGAGAGGATGGAAGCAGCAAAGAAACAGGGAGAAAGAATTCATATTATGGTGTGAAAAATGGATTTAATACATTTCCTGGAAATAGATCGAATTTTTCAATATGCGAGATC